ATGTAGAAAACAGTTGTGCTGCTTAATATTTTTGTGGAAACCATGATAATTTTTTTTTTCTTTTTTTTTTCTCATTCATCAGCTAGAAAATCAGCTAAAAATTGTTCTGAAAGTGATTCCAACAATATTGTTCCTCTGTCACGTTATCATTTTAGTTGTGGTGTGGACTCCACTATTCTTTTTGGATTAGACTGGTTATTAAAACGTTATAGTTATAGTCCTTGGTGTGAATGAACCTTATATCTTTCTCATGTGTAGCACTGAACAACTAGTCTTGCACCATTTATGTTATTGATATGATTGATACCTGAGATTATGTGACTAATTGAGGAGAAGTGTGTTATAACTTTTGAGAGCAGTCATATTTGAAGTTTACGTACATTGAATGAGGTGACCAGAATCTCAGAGACATAGGGGTGACCCTTTTGACCCGGGCTAACAAGCAGACACACAGGACGCCCTAGCAACTGTGTAGCAACATGCTAAAAATGAAACAAACACCTTAGCAACTGTATAGGAACTTCCTGGCAACAACCCAGAACACCTTAGCATCTTTCAACAAGCAAGCACGTTATTTATTTTTCTTCAAAAAATTGTAATATATAGTTATTTTATATTATTGCATGCAGTATACAGGGAAGAAGAGTCGTGCATGCCGAATACAGTCTAAAAAAATACACCACAGTTCAAAAGTTTGGGGTCAGTAAGATTTTTTAATAATGTTTTTGAAAGTTTCTTATGTTCACCAAGGCTGTATTTAATTTGATCAAAAATAGTAACATTGTGGAATATTATTACAACGTAAAGTAGGGCTGTGCAATTAATCGCATGCGATTGTCATGCGCATCTCGTCAGTAAAGCCGGTCCCGTGATTAGTAGTAAATCGCCATCACCTGCTTTCAGATGGAGCGGCATTTAATAAACAGAGCCGAAGTTCACTGACAAGCTAGGCGATATCGCGTTCATAATCGAATGCAATTAATCTGCGATTATGAACGCGATATTGCCTAATTGTCAGTGACCTACGGCTCTGTGTAGTGAATGCCGCTCCATCTGAACGCAGATGATGGAGATTTACTACTAATCACGGGACCGGCTTTACTGACGAGATGCGCATGACAATCGCATGCGATTAATTGCACAGCCCTAATGTAAAGTAACTGTTTTCTATTTTAATATATTTAAAAAAGTAGTTTATTCCTGTGATGGCAAAACTGAATTTTCAGCAGTCACATGATTCGTTAGTCTTCAGTGTCACATGATTCTTTAGTAAGCATTTTAATATGCTGATTTGGTGCTCAAGAATCTTATTCTTATTATCAATGCTGAAAATAGTTGTGGTGCTTAATATATTTGTGGAAACTGTGATACATTTTTTTTGGTGAATAGATAGTTCAAAAGAACAGCATTTATTTGAAATAGAATTATTTTGTAACATTATAAAAGTTACTGTCGCTTTTAATCCATTTAATGATCCTTGCTGAATAAAACAAAAAACAAAATAAAACTTACTCCCCCCAAACTTTTGAATGGTAGTGAATGATTTTTCCGAAACAAGTGTTTCCCGTAATGTTTTGCAGTCAGTGAGTCTGGGCTTCTGAAGGGGGTGATTGTGACCTGTGTATGTTGATTTGTGCTGTATTCTCTCTGTTATACAGAGCACAGGCTGGGAGGTAGGTGCTGAACTTCATGGTTAATGCTTGGCCCATACGTGCAAGCTGTGGGCGTTTATCATGACTCTCTTTGCTGTGAATTTGACCCATTAACCTTTTAATGGACGTTTACATTTCTTCGTCCATCCCTCCATTTCTCTTTCTGTGGGACTGCTGTCAGTGGTGTGTGGGCAGCAGCGTCCCTCTTCCTCTTGTCATCTTCCTCTCTTTCCCTTCTCTTTCTTGAGGAGAAACGATGTTAACATTGTCATTTTTGACAGGCCATGCATGGGAGCCACTGTTACACTAATGACAGATTTATTCATGAATGCCTCATTTCACTCCCTCATCCGTCTCTCTCACTCTGTTTCATCAGTACTGCCATCTATGTCTTCTTATCATGTCTCAAAAGCACAGGGTTCGATTTATGCGAGACATGTGGATAACCTTGGAGGACTGGTTTGTCCAAAAATGAAAGTCCGATCATATTTTACTCACCCTTGCGCTGTTCCAAATGTGTAGGACTTTCTTTGTTCTATGGAATCATGTAATCAGAATCGGAATGGATCATATAAGAAGATATTTTGAATATTAATGACTGGATCGTTGAGTCAGTTTAACTTGAAAAGTTAATGAGTCAGATTCATAAGTTATGTATATTATGTGAACTGGATCAACTAAGTCATTGCAAAGATCAGCCTCAAAATAACAGTATGACACTTTTATCACTTATATCATTTTTATGACACTTTTTTTTTCTTATTTTGTTTTTTGACCACTTGACACCAACAGTCCTCATTTATTTTCATTATAGAGTGTCAACAGGTTCTGGAAGTACAATCCCAATGATTTTCTCCATAGGAGAATCGAGTTTTAATGATAACTTACTGTGAGCTCAGAGGTTGCTAATGGATGGCATATGCTTTTGTTAAAGTCATTAGTTCACATTTTCAACATTTTTTTTAACAGCTGAATTTCTGGTAAAAAAAAAAAAAAAAAGAAACAGGGGGAGTTTGTTTTTCATATCAATGTTTTTTTAG